CCTAGAGGGAGGAACATCGAAAATCATAAAATGGAAATTGTTATAAACTGCTTCATGAGCAAATCAGTCAACATATAAATTTGTTTCTTTAAAAATATGGTTAATAAAAACTTATCAATGACGCATAAGCAAACTTCTAATCTTGTTGATAATGCTAATGAAATGGTGAGTTTAATTATATTTGTTTCAAATGAGATGGATTGCTTTTATTTTTTAAACCAAGGAAAAAATAAAAGGAGAAAAAAAGAGAGTTTTGAGAACGGTTTGTTTTCTATTTTTTTTACAAATAAAAATTAAAAAACTCATTTAAATAAGTGTTTTTGTTTGTTTTTAAAATTATTTTTATTTTTTAAAAACAAAAAATGAAACAACTTAAAGTTTTTTTTATTTTATTTTTCTTATTTTCAATATATATGACATATGATTATTAAATTGAAGTTAGTTTAATCAATTTTTATCATGAATCATAACAATTAACCACATGTAATTATCTCAATCAGTCTATTATTTAATTTTAAAATTATTTTTAAATTAATATAATTAAATAAATTTTTATTTTTATTTAGATTTTGAAAAACAATTCTAAAGTTGATGTTACAAAATATTTTTTAAAATAAAAAATGAAAGTAAAAAAACCAAATAAGCAGTTAATTCATTAGTGAAATCTCGAAGAAAGTGAATTTGACTCTTTCCTTGATTTCGCTCCTCATGAATGACTTTTCACCAAAACCAACCAACCAAATCCGCCTTGTTTTGTAGTTTTAGTCAGGGACGGATCTAGAACCAACTAAACGGGGGGATATAAAATTACATTGTAGTGGCCAGTGGGGGAGCTGAAGTTAATTTTACCATTTTCGACAAGAGAAAACAATAATTTTAACAACTTTTTTTTTCCAACCATGACTGCCCCCCTCGATCCGTCTCTGGTTTTAGTCACTGTGAAACGAACAATTTCTTTAAGCATAACCATAACTTTTATGAGTTGTTTACCCAAACTATCCGAAACCCTCGGCAGGTAAGTAACCAATTGCTTTTCTTAATTAAAAAATCAGCCTCATGAAAGTTATACATCCAGTAGCCATATAATGAACAAATTAGAGCTTTACATTAACACTCCACCAAGTAAAATCTAAGCCATAAAGAACAAAAACCAGCAAACACATGTAGATTCTCGAACATGAACCCTAAAGCGCAGGGTTTGTGATTGTGTTGAGATCTCTATAATGCCTTCTTGGTATTCAGTAAGAACAGCAAATAACAAGCGTGGATTTGTTATGGAAAACGTGTATTATTACAAAGTAGTGTCAATAACTTGAGGACCCCTATACTCAATGGCCTCTATTTGAGAGTTCTCTGGCATCTCAATTTCTTCCAACCATCCATACACATCTTGCTCCTCTTCCCTCACTCCACTCTCTCCACCTGCAACATCAACACAAATTAAACACAGCTCACCAGCTGAAGAATAATACAAGACTTTGTCAATCCATATATAACAGAAGTTCTGGAAAGCTGTGAGATGTACTTACAAGAAAAAGCAGAATAAGGATGATCCTTGTAGTAAGAGCAGTCACGATCGTCTTGTCGGGAATAAGGAGGGCCAAGAACGTCAAGCACAACAGATGGGGTTATGGCTGTGAACTCATGAATGTTGCCCCCAGTTGTGGGGTATAACACTGAAGTATCGCAGGGTGCAGTAAACACCCTATTAGCTTTTAGCCTCGCCAATCTCACTGCAAAACCAAAATGACAAAATTCAAAAACCACTTTTACATAGATATTCCAACAAGTCTCAAAAAAGAGAACTAATAGCCACCTTGAGATGGTTGAGATGAATTCTTGAGGCCTCAGGATCAGCCCAATCGTAAGACTTGATGTGCATGTCCCCCACCAGAAGCTTACTGAAAACAGTCATGCCTGGATGGTTGTGGAGGGGAATGACTCCTTTTGCAGGTAGGAAGAAGATACAGAGCTGCATGAACAAACAAAAGTAACCCAAAATTAAGGATGTTTGTTTTAAGCATCAGTTTGTGAGTTCATTGGTAGGCAAAATGAATCAGAAGAGAACTTACCGAGAAATTCTTGCAATCGTAAATGGTAGTGCTGGTGACACTTGCATTCTCAAAGGCCATATTTTCAGGCTTGAAGAACCGCAGGTCCAAGCCAACATCTTCCGGCTGCATCTTATCTGGAAGAAAACATCACAATAACACTTCAAATGAGATATACTAGAAAATACATATTATTTTTTTTTTTTTGTTGCCAACTAGAAAATACATATTCAATCCGCACTACCTATACTAGAAAACGCATGGTTACTGACAAGTGCATGGAAGTCATTCCTCGAAGGAATTAAACTAATTCATCATCATCATCAATATATAATACAAAATTCATCTAAAAGCCCCACCATTCATAGGATTCATAAACAATGTGGTTTAACAAACTCAATAAAGTCGGATCCTACGAGTTAGTTATCATTATTTTTGGAATTTTCCTCCTTTCCATCTTGTGTCCCGAAGGAAACTTCGATCACGTGCCATCCTATGTTGGCCCGGTCCTATAATGAATTGATTTTGGTCTATATCGCCGTCAGAAGGGAAAGTGATAACTTTGCTTTTCCACAGGACGAAGGGGCACTGAAATTTTATCAAACACTTTTCATTTGATTTTTTAACACCCAAAAAAAAAAAACTAACTGACAAAGAATAAAAAATTATAAAGAAAAACAATGCGGGGCAGATAAAATGAAAACAAAGGGTGGGGGGAGCTTTCTGGTTTGTACTTTAGTGTAATTGGGGTAAAGAGGCCAAACCGCACAGGCAAAAGCAAGCAACCACCAGCTCGATGCCCAAGAGGTACATCTAATTTGACCCAGAACTTGACACTTGTCAATAAGAGATCACATAAAAGCAAACATATACTCTAAACACGACACATCATCTCCTGCAAATATAGCGAGTTAGAATTCAAGATCAGAAGAAAGTAGTACCAAGGATGTGGCATAGTTTATGAACATCTTCAGGTGAGGGAACTGTTCCTGGGCCTTTGAATGTTTCTCTGCAAGACACAAACAGCTCCTGGAGTGCCTCCGGAACCCTCGGAACTGCCTGCCTGGTAATTCCACGGCATGATTTCTTCTTCTTGCTGATGATTTTTCTCACATGACGAACCTATTGACATGTCCAAGTCTGTCCTCCCCCTGTTTCAACCAAACCTGGTTCAGGCTCCACCGACACACCACCTATCTCTCTCTTCATGTCAATCAACTTAGAAACTTTCACAGGCATTTGTGCAAAAACTTATACTACAAGATGCAACAGTTTAGATCAACCGTCTCCCGATGTTAAAATCTGCTCCAACTTCAGCAATGAGAAAAACAAGTGCAGGAATAAAACTTTAAACCCAGATTCCACAAAGTTAGCAAAATCGAAACTTTCAGATGTTTAATATCGCTCCTTTCTTTCGTTGATTGAGATAGGGAAGCAAGCTGGCCAGATTACAGCCGACCAGAAAGGAAGAAAATCATCAGTACGGGCAAAACAGAGCAGAGGTAAGAATACGGAGAAGATGATATTTCAGGGAATAACGAGGGGAATAAGAAGACAGATAAGTTGATATTTATAGATAAATGGAAGAGTCAGAGGCAGAGAGAGAGAGAGAGAGAAAATGAAAATAAAACTCGAAAACCAGGGGCCGTTTCGATTAGGGATAGAAATGAGGCAGTGTTGTCGGAAGAAAACCGGATGAAAAGGAAAGAGAAAAGCAGTATTTTTATTTTTATTTTTTATTTTTGCATTTCCGCTTTCCCGCGCCCCATAGATTGAAGGAAACTGGTGGTTAAAGCGACCCCTGTTTTGATGGTTAAGACGGTAAACCATCGCTGGAATTACCAAAATGCCACTAACGTGGGGGCTAGTCCCACGACCATGATTACTTCGCAAGGGAGAAACACTCTGAAAGCCAATCTGAATCTAGTTGGGAAAACGGCAGATATACATCACTATTAAATATTAATTCCGTTGAATTGTTTATATTTTTTAATTGTAAAATTTCATCGTTAACGTCTCTTAGTCTTATTACAGTATATCTCTAATTCTCCAGAAATTTGATTTGATTTAATAAATTGAGGTGCTACTACATAAAAATATTTTTCTTTTGATTTATAGGTGACTTGAGCTTGATGCTGGTAATTTTTATAGCCATGTCCTGGCAAGGGCACAGAATCTGTGCAAAACTGCAACGTGCTATTTGATTCCCAAAGCGACTGAGAGCACACATCTTATCCTCTGGGCTCTGCGTCTTTACCTCATTTTCTAACGGCAAATTTAATTTTCTATTTACATAAACATAATATGATCGTCATGTATAAACTTATAAAGATAATATTCCAATTCATTAGATGCGATTGTGGCCAAAATATATATATATATATATATATATATTAGACGCGATTGCGCATGCGAAAACTACGAGGAATTCATGGTTTATGCTCCAGTGGAATTCAAAACCATGAAGCTACTTTATGCTCGGGATACGCCAAATAAGGGATATTATATTATAGGTATAAATACACACGTTTATGCTTCTGCAAGTCCGTGCAAAACCACATAATAGTCCGATGAATGATAAACCAGCGTCAATTATTAGTCACGATCCAATGCTTTTAATTATTTCATATATTTTAAAAAAATTATTTTTTTTTTTGATATCATATAAGGATAGAACATACTCTTATTTTTACTTTTAATTTTAAATAATAATACAAATATATTAAATACCTCCACATAAACTAAAAAAAAATATAATTAAAAAATATAATTTAATTATTACAATGTGTTCAATATTTTAAATTAAAAATTACTTGCAAAACATGTCTTATAAATAAAATTAAAATATTTTTTATATGATCAAAAAACTAATACGGCTTGAAAATTGAAATACATACTGTCGGAAATCTGAGGCTGTTATTTATATCATATGCTCGACTGACACTTAAATTTAATTTTTTAAAAAAATAAAAGATAACATTATCATTAATTGAAAGCAGGGCAAGTACGTTACAAATCAACTACTCACAGATTCTGATGACCTGCTCATATAAAGACGGTGTCAGATTCCAATTGAAAGATGAGAAAAACAGGGGAACAAATAGGCATCTAAACCTCTCATGTTGCTTAGACTGCGACAGGGACGGATATGAATGGACCAGCAAGCTTCGCCATGTATCTCGTAAACCAAGAAAGCAGAGTTCATATTCAGCGGAAAGTTGCGCTCCGATTCCCAGAAGCTGGAAATGCCTGACGTCTTCTAGCGGAAGGCAGTTCTTTGGCCACATCACTAGTTTGTCCCCGTCCTACTGCTGAATTTTTCTTCTTACCACCAGAGTTGCGCTGCCGCCGCCTCAGACCACCGTCTTCGTCATCGTCCTCCTCCTGCAAAGTTGCATCTTCTCCAAACCTGACTTGCTTCCTGGCAGCTTCGTAATCAAATGGCTTCACTTCCAGTAACCTACCGGATTCTTCAGCTTTACTGGCTAGTCTTCTTCTATTTTGAGTGTTTGACTGAAAGCATTTTTGGAAGCTTGATGACAGTTCCGAGAGAGACATTGGCTCGTCTTCGTTCTCTTTTCCTGAAGTGGAGACCGTAGAATTTTTCTCAATGTCCTCCTTTGTGCTTTCCGGATTATTGTTCGTAGCATCCTCTGGGTCAGTATCAGAATCGAGTAGAATAATCTCATCAGCAGTGGAGGCAGAAACAGGATTGTCGGAAACTGGGTTTTGGACAGCCGAAGCTTCGCTTTCAGAGGCTGCTACACTAGGAATTTCTTCGACTATTTTTGACTTCTCACTGCTGCCCAAAAACGAATGGAAAGGAAGACTGACCGAAGATCTAATCTGCTCCAGCTTGGCCTCTTCCTTGCCCTAGAAAATAACGAAAGATTAAGTGAAACTAATGTTATCTAAAACCGTGTAAAAATAACTCGAGCAGTGTGCCATATGTATAAGAAGTCTGAATATCCTAAACGTGACGTGCCTCAGCAAATTTATTACTAATCAGCTTTATTACGTCTCACCCAATTGCGAAATGCAAATGGCGGCCAGAGAGAATAAAAAAAAGGGGCAAAAGGTTTGCATCGTGTGAAACTGAAACGCATCCTTTGAATGAAAGGTTCATCAAGGAAAGCTTACTTTTTTGCCAGCATCAAGCTTCCGCTTTGAAGCTGGATTGCCAAGAAGTGCCCCAAAAGCGCCAGCAGGCTTTTTCAACACCTGAACAGTTGCTTTGCGACCCTGTCAACAATTGAACACCAATGAGGCTGATGCCCTAACATACAAGTCAAGACATCAAAATAAACAAATGAATAATTAAAATACAACTTTTTCAGCGGAAGAGGTACTGACAGCAGCATTTCTGTCCTGCTCTAAAACAGTGAGTGTATCAGATTTAATAGATACCTCCCCCTTTTTAACTTGCTGCTGAGAAGTGTCCTGTTTAGGGTGGACAGAAGTAGCAGATTTTTCCAAGGTATTAGAACTGGTGCCACCTTCAACTCCATTTCCCTTTTTTGCATTTGAAACATTTAAGTGAGGCATATCCTCTTGGGGAGCATCAGTTTCATCTCTAAGAGGTACTGCGTGATCCGATCCCTGCAAATCATCACATTTTTGAGGGGTTTAGAAATCATCATATTAGTCCACAAACATATCAGAAAACAGAGCCCCAAAAAAATTGTGATAAGAAAACCCTATTCTTGTTAAGCACTGCACTGAACAGTTGAGGAACGTTCCCTGAACATTGGAAACCAAGATATTTAAACGATTCTCAACACATTACTTCGACTAATGGCCTCTGTAATTAGGTTAATTACCAATTCCTAAAAGACTAAACCAGGTGTAGTTCTTACTTCTTAAAGTCCAAGCAATCAAGTTCTTCAATAATAAGCACATAACATGTGGGAAAAAAAAATCCATAAACCAAGAATATAGTGTTGAAATTGTATCAAAATGTGTATTTTGATTGGGAAACCAAATAGAAAGGGATCTGCAATTTCATCCATTCAGGGACTGGAGGATAATTTACCCAACTAAAAGAACTGAGCCTGCATTGGTAAGATCAGACTTGAGATGAAAATGCACATTACCAATAGTGGTCAGTAGCTCAGCGATTTGCATTTGCTATCTTTATACTAGTTGTAAAATAAAGGACTAGCATAAATAAAATAATCACCTAACCTAACCAATCGATGTCACCCTTTGAAACACAACACTTACAGTTGCAAGGCGTCCCTCTTTCAACTGCTGAGCAGCAGCTTCGAAAGCAAAAGCATTTTGCATGGAATTCCTAACAATGTTGACTATAGTATCAAGATTGCGTTCGATATATGGGTTCTTTGATTTTAGCATTCGACGGAGCTTGCTTGTAGTAACAGGCATCTGCTTAGCTTTGAAATAGGTTAAAAAAAAAAACAAAGCATAAATGTCACGTGATAGAAGGGCTACGTTCAGAAGAAAAACAAGACGGGGCACAATGTTCATGTACCTATTTCAAGAAGTATTTTATTAGGCAAGACATATCCAGTACTCTCATCTTCTGTACGAGCAACAACATCTCGCCATTCACAAAGCCCCTGTGAGCCAGATAACAGAATTTTAATTAAACACAGTGGTCAGTGGAAGCAATAAATACCCACATATTTTTTTAAATTTTTAGATGTTTTGTCATTCATTATTAATAATATAATCCTCGTAACAGGGCCATCAATCCAAGCATGCTAGAAGCCACCTGCATTTCAGGTTTTAAGAACACTAATAACACTACCACCAATTGCGACCTAATTATATAATGGATAACTGTGCTTGAAAGGTCCACAGAAGCTGTGTCACCTTTCTGCAAGCTATTTTTGATAGAAACCTATATGTTTCAGCAAATACGAGTTAAAACCAGCAGAATTAGCCGGTGCTACCAAAGGATAACGACAGTAATAGAGGCGCTGAAAAATGGAAGTAATGACAGGGACAACAGGGACATCAACAGGCAGTGGCAGGCTTGTGATGGAGTATAGAATCAATTCTGAAATTTCATATGAAAGAAAGGCCCAAAAATATATTAATCTACAAAACCCTGGGTTTTGGTGGCAGCTTTAAACATTCGTGTGAAATTGGCTCCTGAGAAAACTCCAGATTCTAGAAATCAAATCTTTTTTTTTTTAGACAGAGTTTCAGATTATGGTAAATGGACTTTCGTTCATAAGTTTGAAGTCAGCTTACTGAAACAATTGCAAGCTGCTGAGCGTTATAACCAGCACCTTGCAACCTGCATTGAAAACACAGTTTAGATCCACATCTCTAGACTAGCATTAATAAAATCATGCGGAGCAGAAATTACAAGAGAAAACCGCCTAGAAGTGGCAAAAGAAGTAATCACGAGATTTAAAATACAATGAAATGAAATGCCAAAATAATAAAAGGTTTTCACTTGACAAAGGTAACAATGTTACCCATATATATAGAGGTAAGAGTTCTCCGTCAGAAGTTCTTTCTCATATAACTGCATACAGACATCGTAACTGCGTTTGTAGACCTATCAGTAAAATGAAACACCATTTAGAAGACAAAAATATTACACCAGCTGCTCAGTTATTATTACATCAGCTTAAAAATTCAGAATTCAAAATTCAAAAATTGTCTCCGCTGAAATTACAAGATCACCAAGGAAAGGATTGGTGAATCACATGCATCTAACTGCTTGGATCCAAACTTAGCACCATAGTAGCCCATGATCGATCCCAATTTAGAATCCATACTCACTTAACAAAAGCATGAAATAGCTAAAGAAATACCATAAATATATGAACAGAAAACAGAAGCAAAGCTAATAAACGCAATAGCACAAACTGAAATCCTGAACTCTATGAGCATGCAAGAATGATACTCAACACAATTATGCAAGTATGATTAATCCATAGCGTCCACAGACAGGAGGTTTTGGGAATTCACAAGAGTTACCTCCAGCAGAGGAGTATCAGAATTTTCAGCCTCCTTGGGCAATTCAAATAACTTGATTTTCATTAAATCATAAATATACAGCAGATAATGAGTATCTTCTCTGGCGTATCTGTCATCAGAATAACAATTCATTAGATCACAGTCATCAAATCCCGGGGATGGTATGCTCTTCGTTATCACATAAAAACTTAAATGACTAATATGATAACAATACAAATAATAATTATCATGTACCAATACAAATATTACAGATGTAAGAAAAAGTTAACAAACAGCAAACTAAAAGACACAATTAACCAGAGTTTGATTTGTTATTTACTGCAATGATTGGGGCAAGCTTAATTTTCTTAGCATCAACCATCAAATAGAAGGAGTCCAAGGGTCCATTACGAGATGCCTAGTCATTTTCAAGCAGTTTAACAAGCGTCTACATTAATGTTTAACAATCTTGGATCCTATACACTTCATGGATAAATTTACACCATGCGGATGAAAAGAGACAGACAAACCAGCAATGAAGTGTAGGGAAAAGCATCTTCAAACATTGGATGCAGGGGAGAAAAAGCCCTAGTGTTCGAATTGCCTCAGGCTCCCTCCTAAACTAACCCCTGTGCAGCACTTGAAGTATATAATCTGTTATTTTACCATCTATGCCCCAAGAATCAACATTCACACATTAATCCAAATAGAGCCAACTTGTAACTTTCAAGAAGTTAAACACCATAAATGAGATCTCTAGTCAGCCCAGGGATGCATAAACCTTAGTAACTAGAAAATTAAAGGGCAAGACTTTTGAACATCCGAGGGGGGGATGTACTGACTATAGAATAAAAGCCTTGTCAAGAAAATTTACGCCTATATGTTCGAGAAGCAGGGCAGGTAATTCCCACTTATGTACAGCAAAAATGGCAGACAAATCAAATTCCTAAGATTCTTAATTTTTGATGCCACAGTCAAAAGAACCACCCAGGGATTATTTACTGATGTTATTCTTGGAGATTAGATGCCAGATTTACATTTAAAAGAACAATGCAAGCACGGGGAAAAACAAAAGGAGTATCATGGATTAAGTGAGATTGGTTCAAAACACAACAGCACCTCATCATCTCATCAGGCAGAGGGCGTAGTCTCCAATCTGCATTCTGATATCTGCAAGGAGTTTACCCATCAACTTTGAAAATGCAGGATAGAGGAATTAGTAATGCACAAAGTAAATACAATAAAATAAATAAATAAAACAGAGAGGGGAAGAGTGAGCGTACTCTTTGTTTGCAGTCACCTCACAAAAGTAATGCAGAAGATATTCCAAACTATTTCTTTCCAGTTTCAAAACTCTTGAGGCCTGAGCAATGGAGTCAACATAGATTAGTTCCTTTTCAAGAGAGAGTGAAGGTCAAAGTTATGCTAATATAGTAATAACCTATTAATCAATGAACATGGTTCACAGAAAGGTGCCAGAAGAACCGAAGTTAAAAAAGCTTCACATCATCTGATCATGATTTTATATTGAAGAACAATTCCATTAACAATAATACAAGCAGAGGAGCAAGACATCCTCTGAAAATGAAGAAAACTACACATCATACACAACAAAAAGCGCAAATACTAAAATTTCCCAGGATCCTCTAAAATGATGGGAAAAGATCTTGCAAAAGTTTGCATGCATATTACAGTAGTATGGAGATAGTATGCAAATCCCTTGAAGATGTCTCAAATATAGATACAAGCAAGAATACAATTTGGTTATGATCATTTTCACGCAAATTTTCAAGACTGCAACAATATGATCACCCACTAGACCTCATCCCCCAAAAAACACACTTGACTATTGCAAGCCTAATTTATCTGGTGGTGGTAGTATAGAAATTAACTCTCGTCCTCAACACCTTGTCATACACTGTAAACGAGAGTCAGCATCAACTGATCGAATGAACTAATTTACACAGAAAATAATACCATCAAAATAAATAAATGTCACTGCAAATATTCTTTTCCTGGAAATTTCATAGGGAAGGAATCTCAATAATGGACATTGTAAAAATTTCACAAACCTGGCCAGTGTCAAATAAATTACAAACATAAATGCCAAAATCCCGTTGAAGCCAAATGATATCTCGATCTGCTCCATGCATGACCTAATTAAGCATTACAGAGGGGGAAGTCAATAGACCTGAACCAGAGCTAAAAGCCAGCAAAAAGAAACTATTCACGCGCAACAGACCTTTTTTTGGAAGGATCCTTAAATACTTCCCTTAGATGTGGCCCTACATGAATCTTAAGCTTCAAAGTGTCCACAACAAAATCTTCAGTCCTGTGAGATTTGCATCAAGCAAGTCAAGCCTTGGAAGGACCGATATTGATTATGTTCCAAATCCACCTAGACATTTCAAGTCAAGACAAACATATCAAAAGAATATGCATGACCAAATTATTATATTTTGTAGAACATTTCCTCGCAAACAATAAGGACTCTAGAAAGACAAGTAATCCCTCGAGGAATCCCATTTTCCATATTCATTCCTTAAAGTTTCTAGCATTAGTGAAAATTAATTAAAACATCATATGTATACTTCCGATGTAGAAATCAAAAGAATCCAATTCTAGGTTTCAGCAGAGTTGGGAATGAACAAATCAAATTTGTTGGAATAGGAAAATTTGGAAAATTTATTTCCATCAAGAGTTGATCTCGGGAATAGTTTGTCCATTAAATGGGTCAAGAACAAACAGCAACTAGTGAGGGGGGAAAGACGTATTTCTGGTACAAGAAGAGCAAACATAAAGTATTTTAAAAAACAAAATCAGCCAAAACGTAGTTTAACCAACACAGGTCATTATTACATCAACACAACCAAAAAGTGCAGAACTCATGTTTCACCTGACAATATTCACTAGCCACACAGCATGATATGTAAATGTTAGGAAATGTAAGAATTAGTTAAGTATAGGGGTATAAGAGGTATAATCATTATTTAGGTACTCTGTTACTGTATTAGTCCTTAATGGGTCGGCCTATAAATACCCCTAAGTCCAGATATGTAGTTGTTGATCTTTCATCAATCAGAATGTACTACCCAGAAAGTCTCCTCATTTCCCTTTCTTTCGTCTACCTATCTCTCTTCATCTCTCTCTATCTTAACACAACAGACAAGACGTCATAACTTTACACAGCAGAATCCGAAGAAATTCAAGAAAATTGTACATATCAAGGGTGAAGATTTCATGCAGCTAAAGGTATTGTCATTTGATATGTCTCATCAAGGAACCACAGAAATTTTTTTAAAAAGAAGAATGATGAGATACATCCTAAGTTTATCTGATTGAGGCTTAAGATTATGGTCCAGAATCAAGAATGACCAATATTCAGTTGCAGACCACATGGGAATGGGGTAAGGAAAGGGATTTGCAAGACATGTAGGGGAAGGGTAAAGGGAAAACGTGTGGACTGTTCGGTAAGAATAATTTAGAAAGGAAAAGAGAAAAATAAAATGAGGAAAAGATGATACTGCCCGTGTCTCCAATCTCCCAAGTGTATTAGGGCAAACCCATCTCCAAGTTGCAGCCTACAACACAGTTGACAGCATATAAAACATGGCTTGGATAGAATTGCACTATTCCCCTCTTCTCGCTACCACAGCCAGTGGAATTCTCACCGGTTTAGTGAGCTCCATGTACTCACAAGAAACCACTGCATCAAATTGAGAAAGGTAGAAGAGCACGGACAAGAGAAAGGAAGAGCTTGATGACAGCAGCAGCGAGGCAATAGGAAGCAAGAGCAAGTAGAAAGCGCCACAGATAGAAGAGAGGGACCAGATGACGATGAGGGCATTTGCTCCAGCAATGATCACCTCCCTTTCACTCCAACAACAGTCTACGACTCAAAGTAATTCACATGCATTCTCGAAGCAATGAGATGACATGGGCATTCTGGACCGAATTTTTGTTTCCCAAGAAGCCATCTCCTTTCCCCTAGTATATGACAGGTGTCTAGATTGCCATAAACTAGAAAATAGCTCTGGCAAGTGCCAAACTAGTTAAAAGTTGCTTACCCTTACCCGTTCCCACCTACCAAATGCAGCCTTTAAGTTATATGCAATTCCTATAGCACGGTTAAAGGCCAATGTTTATAAACTCAACAAATTGGAGCAGAGTGTATCGCTGCAGTTGTGCAAACTAAAAGCAATAGCATAAAGGGTAGTAGCATGATCATGCTAAAAATAAGGGAAACAAGCTCCGAAAAACATGAGCAAGGAGTTAGTGGTAAATGGTTGATCATAAAAATGCACAAAAGTTTTCAACAAAACATAAACAGCACTCATATTTTACCGCAAATTCATTAGCTGCCCGCAGCTTAGCAGCCAACTCCTTCAAACCTTTGACATCCTCCACAAGTTTGAAAGGGGTGCATTCTAGTGGGGGAGGTTTTCTAGGTTCAAAATCTCCAAGATCTTTGTCAACAAAATCCAAGACAGAGAGTTTCTCCTGAAACGAGAAATTAATAATTAAATGATAAAAAGGACCATACAATAAAATCAGCATGGTAAACACAAGAAAAGATAAGTAAAATTATGAAAGGCTGTAGAAATGCCCCATTCACATGCATCAATTTTTACGTTGTAAGGAAAGCCCTAGATTTAGTGAATGTCTCTTCAAATGTAACTACCTGTTTTCTTTTTTTCCTTTTTTTCTTTTTTTTTAAAAAAGCTTTCTGCGAATCGATTCCACGGAACAATAGTATACTACCCTATGTTTTTAAGATTATCCATTTGACATGGCATGCTTAGACTGAAGACTTATTTTTTTCTTCCCGACCACGCTAGGAACTCACTTGCATCCTTCACAGATTGAATGGATCAATTAGCGCGCAGAGAGAGAGAGAGAGAGAGAGAGCAATATATGTTATCAAGAAAAAACAGAAAACTAACCAGCGGATGAATAAACCTCTGACCATCATCGCTCCTCTGCAACCAAACATGCTCAAAAGGCTGGTTTGAATTATTAACTAGAATGTTATACTCATCTTGAGGCCTCCTAATTGTTGGTATATGAAACGGAATCTTTGGCTTCGACCCAGTCGTTTTCTTGTCTTTTGCGGCCACTTTAACACCGGAGGCAGGACTTGAATCTGGCTCGTCTACTTTCCCAGCTCCCAGATGATTAGCCCCTTTCTTCTTCTTCTTCCCATAAACCAACTGGAACCCGTCTTCCGAGCCCGGCATTGAACTCATGGGACACCCTGTCTCCTCCTCTTTCTTCCTAATCCTAAGAAACTCGTCGAAGGACACATCGAACCGCTCTAAAACCTCGTCATTCACATTAACCAACCAGTCATATGCATCGTCGATATCCATGGGTAAATCAATCTCCTTGCCCCATAAATGCGCCGAGTTGCCGATGGCTTCCAGCATCGTCTGGGATTTTTTCTCGATTTCTCCAATTGGTTTCTTAAATTCGTCGAAGTTGTAGTAAAAGTGAAAGTCTTTGTCCGAAGGTAAGCATCGGGAAGAACCCGAGAGCTTGACGGCTGACGAAGACAGAGGGCCGGTTGATAAATTGTGCAGAGTACGCGCCCTTGCGGTGGGCTGAGATTGATCAACGTCCATGGCGTCCTGACTCATCGTGATGGCCGAGATTGGTGAAGGGTTTAGAGCTAGGGTTTTAGTCTAAACATCGCCATCGCTTGGTGTGTGGGTCTCTCCATCCGTGCAACCGCGGGAACAGCGGGCGGGTCTCAAAGCATATGTTTCTGTCACGTGTCATCAGCCGGGAGGCTACACGTGGAAATTAAATCGGAGGGAAGATCACAATGATCCTACAGATAATTGATTATTTGTATGATTTTATTCACAAGTCAGTTGAAATACGTTTTATCAAAATTAAAAAAAGCTTTAACTTTTATTAATTTTATGTTAAAATTTAATAAGGTTTTATATTTATTCATATAAATATTTTTAAATTTTATTATTAATATTTTTATTTAAATTATTTAATAAATAAAAAATGTAAAGAAAGTATTGAAAATTAACAAGTGCTTTATAAATAGAATAAAATTTTTTCTTCTCTCTTTATTTTGTAAATAAGATCAGAGTAATATGTTGTAAGACCAAATAATTCTAATATTATTTTACAGGATTGAACTACCTTCTTTTGCTGTGAAAAAAATACCCTTTATGTTTATATTATATGCTCTTTTAACAGTAACTCCTCATTAAAAAAAAAAGTTTCATCCACATTTTAACAACAATCAATTCTCTCATTATTAACTTTAAAAAAATTAACTTGGTGGGAAAGAGTAACAAGTGTTGTGATTTGATGAACAAATTCTTATTTGAGAAAAAATGAGTCCAATTTTCATTCTATCAACAACTAATTATCTTAATAACAATTCAAAAAAATTAACTTGATGGTGAAAATAAACATGTGTTGTGATTTAGTGAATATATTCTCGTTCAAGAAAAAATAAGTCCCATTTCATTCTAACAACAATCAATTCATTCATTAACAAATATAAAATATTAATGTGGCAAAGGAGTTGTTTTAATCCAGTGAACAAGTCTCCATTTAAGAAAAAAATAATTTTTTTTATTTTAATAATAATCAATCACAACAAAAATGCATTAGGGATGATTTTTTCTTTTATAATAAATTTTAATGGGAAAATGACAAATAAATTTTAAAGGTTTCAACTAATTCAAATTAAATCTGAGGTATTAAACTCTAAAAATTTAAAATTTTAATAGGAAACTTGTTAAATTTTGAAATATGAGTTACAAATTTATTACAATAAAATTGTAAAATAAGAGTCAAACTTATAAATTTTTAACGTTTGACGTCTAAGACTTAATTTGAGTTAATTGATCCTCTTGGGTCCTGTGTATTATTCTCTTAATTTTAATTACATTTAGGTCCTTTGGTTATATAAAGTAACATTATAATCATTAAGTCTCGTAGCGTACTTAATTGTCTCTAAGAGTCCTCAATTGTGATTTTTCTTAAATTGAAAGACTTCTATTACGTTAGGCCTTACTGGTAAGCAAGCCTCAATTTAGTAAAATTAGGATTGGAATTAATAGTGAGAGTGAAAATAAGGCTTTAAAATTATATTTAGCATGGAGTAATATCTATAGAGAATATTTATTTTATTTTATTTTATTTTACAATTAAACATGATTTATAAAAATACAATAATACCCATTAAAACTAAAAAATATATAACCTAAACTCACGATTGCTCTCCTTCTCCCGACATATTGACACAGTAACGTAAGAAGCTCCTTCCACCACTCCTCCTCCTCATCTTCCATAACATCCCAATTTTAATTTTAATAATTAATTTAGATTAATAAAAATATGGAGAACATTGAGAGATAACCAAATTAGTATGTTAATGTTTTAAATAGATAAGAAATGATATACGTCTTTTAGAATTATTTATAATTTAATGTACCTGATTAGCATTTTTTGTTATATAAAGCTTATTTGTAACTTTTGGAATTATTTTTTATTTTTATGCTCTTTTTTATAACTTTATTAGTCAAACTTACAGTAAAAATTAACATTTATCAATTATAGGCATGTGATTTTTTATTTTTTGATATGACCACATAAAAAACAATAAGTGTGTGTTTAGAATTTTAGATAACATCATCTAAGTTTGGGCCACCCCAACTTAGGTTAGGATGTTAAAAGCTCATCAACTCTTGCTTAGGTAAAAAAAAAACTCAACTAACATTTTAGGGAGAATGATCATTTTCCTTAGAAGCTGCATGAGGCTTCTTTCTAACCAAAGTTGAGTATGGTGATGAGTGTTGGGGGCATTAATGTTTTTAAAATTTTATAGTTGTTTTCTCTACCTTCATTTACGAGCAGCACGATTTCTCCTCCTCTACCTTCATGAGCCCCTACTTTCATGAGCATGCTTACCGCTATCTAATCCCTCATCACAAATCTAACCAAGGATGTGCTCGCCATTGTTATTATTGTCCGATTTTCTGTCAACTAAACTAGTGCTCATGGTTTTTTTGGCGTGAATGGAGACAATGTAGAGCAAAGCAAAGCAGAGCTACATGGAGGAGACAAGGTAAGTACATAAGAGAAGGAAAGTGTTGCCAATAGTAAAGGTGGAATCAGTGAAAATGTCGCAAATGAGGTCGATGAAGGTTGTGTTGATTAAATGTAGCATTGGCAAGGTTAGGACTAAAGTATTGGGTGGTTCTGCCTCTTTAGAGCAATCCAATATTATAAACAATACTTAATACTTCATTCTATATATATTGTTTTTTAATTTTTAATTGAGTTTAGTTTTCTTTTTTTTTGACCAAATTGAGTTTAGTTTTCTTTAAAGAAGATCAAATTAGACTATTTATTAAATTTTGATTATATATAGACTATAATTTATCATTTCATTCACCCTATTTTTTAAAAATTATGATTTTTAAACAATTAACTTATTTTAGATATTTTAAGTCTACCTTTTTTAAAATTACAATTTATCAATTTATTTTAAATTTTTTAACTTATAAAAAATACTTTATAATTTATAATATTTAATCCTTTTAGATTGAGTATTTATAATTTATAAATTTATAAATTTTTATATTTAAATATTCTGTAAAGTTATCATTTCATTCTACCATTCAAAAAATTAATATTTTTTATTTACCATTCTATTTTATATTTTTAATTCATTTTTAAAAAATATTAAATTAGTTACAATATATATATATATATATATACAACTTATATTCATTTTAATGACTTTTAAATTAATTCATTCAAATAAAATTCATTTCATCGAACTGATTTCTAAAAAAAATCCAAACATAACTATGTTATATTTATTGACCTATTTCTTAATTTTAATTTGCTAATTTTAATTAAATTTTAATATTAATTATAAATTTTTTAATTGAAACATGCACTATAAATTTTTTGGGAGAACAAATGGAAAGGTTGCCTTTCCGTTATTAAAGCCGATGCACCTACCTTAAAAATAAAATTTAAAAAATCATCAGTCAATACGGATGCTAACATAGGGCACGGAAACGGTGGATTAGCCCATCAAAAATAAAGACGAGACACGCAACAGGGGCAACAGCGGCTGCAGAACCCTGTTTTGGTGTCACCTCCTTGAGTCCCATAACAACGATGCCTCAACTTTCTCTTTTCCTATAAATTTCTTCACTCTCTCTCTCTCTCTCTCTAACGCTCATCTTCTCGCTTCCAAAGTCAACAACACAAGTATCACAGAAACTAGCTGCTTGCTCCCTGAGTTCCAATGGCTTCCCTGATTCTTCTCTTTTATGAGATTGTTCGGAATCATGAGCTCGATGCTGCGTCTCTATTAGCTGCATCCACTCCTCCTCCTCCTCGCTCTGCTGCCACTGAATCACTGACAAATCAAAATGACAAGCGCACAAGCCAGGGTTCTGAAGATGCAGTGGAGTCGAGAATCTGCGTTGATTTTGTGTGGCCTTGATTTTTCAACGCCATGTCTGCTATCTAGTTTGGTTGAAAACGAAGTTGTAGTCATGTAAATCATTAGTCATCTCTCAATTAATTCTACTTTAATTTTTTCTTTCTCTTGTTTTGGATAATTACAGCAGCTATATGAAAAGGTTGCTCTCTCGTTCTCATCTCTATCTTATTTTCTTCAACCGATAAACAAGAACGGAGAACCCAGACAATTCAACTAACCTAAGTCTTATGCCAAGTTATAACAGAATCTTTGATCCTTGATTCTGTAATTGCAAACATTGAAAGGCCAAACATCCCATGGACAGTGCTTCAATTTCTGAAGCTTGATGGATCTTACCTGAGCTGTTAATGAATCATCTCGTATAACTCTAATTAGCAGATTCCCAGCTTATTCATCGGGGCTGTCAATGTATCAATTTATATATAATTAATAATAAAATAAAAATAACCTGTTTGTAATGAAAAAATGTAATTAATATATTAATATGTCTACCTATAATCTACAATATGTAATTCTATATATAAAGTCTCCTTGTCATGAATCGTTATTAATATAAGTTGTTTTAAACTTTGTGTAAGATATGGGATACAGTCCAGCTCGATATAAATCAACGCTGATATAAAATAATAAAATGCAAAAATAGCAGTATATGAATACTGGTTTTTTGGGCCAGACTCTGAATATGAGTTCATAGCGACAAGTGTTACTCATCCTTGGGTGTAGTGCAGGAGGCCATTTTATGGCCTGGAGTTCGTTTTTGTAAGCTGATCGGTGCATAAATCTTGATATTACGAACCAACTAGCAGTTTACAGGGTTGGGCCTGCTGTAGGTTGTAAATTGGGCGAGGTGAGTTGACGCAACCTGCATCTTGATGAGTTGTGCTCTTGCCAATCTGCATGACCTGCACCAGGTTGGTAAGTTGACAAGCCAACACACTATTAAAACTTATTTTTTTACTAATTTTGGAAATTACACATTTATCTTTTTTTATTATTTTTATTGGTAAAAAATCATATTTTCCTTCTAAAAATTAATTATCCAAATAACAATAAAAATATTTTTAAATTATTAAAAAACACAATACGAATTGAAAATATATTAATACAATCTAAAATAAATGCATACTCAGTCACTAGCAAATATAATAAAAAGTTAAAATTACAATTCAAAACTTAAAGATAAATTTTGTAGTGGAAAAATCAATAACAAAGTAAGCTCTATAACACTCCA